TATATATATATATATATATATATATATATATATATTTTATTTTATTTTTTTTTTTATTACGTAAACATTTTAAATTCAAATATGAAATGTTAATTCTTGTTTATTCTGTTTAGTGGATCCATGTGTGGTCATATTTTTATACAATCAAAGACTTAAATTTAAAATGAACTTGAACAGTCTTTAGTCAAATTTGCGCATATGTAACATTATAACCAACATCCAACATGATAACAATATCATCTGATGCCAGTAACTCAGGACAAAAGATTGATTTATGTGCTACCTCGCTGAAGCAGCAATAAACAAATTTGATACTCACATTACTGCTGAGGCAATGAGCCGGACTGAACACGCTCTTCCTCCTCCACAGACAGTTAAGTCATAGAAAAGACTGTCATTCACTGGTCCGGTGTCCCCTTGTTACCGGTTAACTTCTTAACTCCGTCTAAAGATGTCCACAGTGATAAGTGATTTTTAACCTCAGCGTATGAATGTGGGTGGGTCTACCTCTCTCATGAAGGTCATCCTGCTCTAATAAGGAGCATTACTCTGGTCACATGACTGGCTGCACAAAAAAGCTATTTTAGCTGGTCCAGTTTTTCTGCAAAACTCTTGTTGAACGATAGCATTGACATCGATATGTAAAGTGTGCATCCACAGTGTTCAGTGAACAGTAAACTTTTGACTTGTAGGCCTTTTGTGCTTCTGAGATATATAATGATCATTTAATTGTGAACAGAATATTCTGAACTCTTTTGTAGTGTGTTCTTTGTCCCTATTCAACAGTCATCTGTCTTCAAGACGAACAAACGTCATAAATGACACCTAATATTTGAGCTGTAGTCCTTGACTCTGAAGTCAGTCTTCATGTGGAACTTTGAACACTCATAATAGGACACACTGAACATTTTACAAAACATTTAACTTGCCATAGCTGTTTCTTTTATATTCTTTTTGATAGCAGGTCAAATCAAAGTTAACGAATCAAAACATCACAAGCCATTGTGAATTTATAGCTCATTTAGGCTCAGCATACAGTTTAAATGCAGCTTGTACATAAAAATAAAGATTTATTATAACTATTAACACATTAAATAAAGGCATCAGTCTGTGTAGACGGGACCCATGAGAGCATAAGTATGATTCTGAACATAAATCACATCAGATATCAGACAAAGGTCAATGACTTGACGCCAGATTGGAAAATATCTGTCAGAGAGAAGGCTATTCCATAAAAATATTAAGCAGCACAAGTGTTTTCAGCATTAATAATAATAAGAAAAGTTTCTCGAGCACAAATCACCATCACAGGAATAAATAGAGTTATTTTAAATTGTAATAATATTTCCCAGTATTACTGTTTTCACTAAATATTTTGATCAAATAAATGCAGCCGTAGTGAGCTTAAGCAACTTTTTTCAAAAACATGAATAAAACCATTAAAAAACATTTAAGAGCATTGGAAATTGTGTATAATCTAATATAATTTTTTAGGATTTTTAGATAATTTCCTTTCTTTTTCAATACTGAAAATCTTCACAGTGCCCACATACAGCCATGGATTTTGTTTAGTTATGAAATATATAAACTACAACTTTTGTTATTGAACTCACACAAAAAACTTACAAAAAGTGGTTCCGTTTCTATAAATATAAATGTATTATTTATATTTATTATTTGTGACCCTGGAGCACAAAACCAGTCTTAAATCACTGGGGTATATTTGTAGCAATAGCCAAAAATACATTGTATAGGTCAAAATTGTAGATTTTTCTTTTATGCCAAAAATCATTAGGATATTAAGTAAAGATCATGTTCCATGAAGATATTTAGTAAATATCCTACTGTAAATATATTAAAACTTAATTTTTGATTAATAATATGCATTGCTAAGAATTCATTTGGACAACTTTAAAGGCGATTTTCTCAATATTTTGATTTTTTTTGCACCCTCAGATTCCAGATTTTCAAAAAGTTGTATCTCAGCCAAATATTGTCCTATCCTAACAAACCATACATCAATGGAAAGCTTATTTATTCAGCTTTCAAATCTCAATTTCGGAAAATTGACCCTTATGACTGGTTTTGTGGTCCAGGGTCACATTTGTATAAATCTAAATCTATTATAAGTAATCTGATAACAATGTTTCATGTACCATTGTGAAGTGTTGCAATCTGTTCTGGTGTTAACCACCTCTATTTTTTTCTCTTTTGGTTCAGTAACAATGTTAATTCATAACAAGGACTGTAACAGGTGTGTGTGTGCGCGAGTGAGAGATTGAACTTTGGAATGAAGGTGAAAGGTCAAAGAAAAAGAACACAAGGAATGTGTCACAGGAGTTCAGTTTTCCAAATAAATGACATCATTCTAATAAATCAACTTACAATGATTATTACCCAAAATATTTGTGGGTTGTTGGATGCAAACATTTAGCTTTGAGGGGCAAGTCAAAGTTGAATGGAAATGTCCTGGTATAATATTTGCTAAAATCCCTTGAACATGTTGTCCCCCCAGCCCTGTGTATGATGTGTAGCTCACTCAAGAATTAACATGAACGGAATAAAAAACACAAATCAGGCAACACGTCTTTCCAGTTCTTTATTCATTTCATTATAAATATGAACTTAATGACAAAAGTTTTCAAAACACAAAACAACAAAAAGGCATTAAGGCGTTATTTTCCGTTTTCAAGTAGCCGACCAACAAAAATGTACTGAATGTGAGACTTTGAGGTGAATTGCGAAATCAATTGGCTTCTCCCAATAAATCAGTAAGAACAAACATTCAGTAGCAAGTGTGAATGCCAAAGGTCATCAATCAAATGACCCCTGTGAATAAGGGATTGGCTTTGCTTTGTTATCTAAAGGAAAATACAATATTTTTGAGCAAGTACAATGTGATTGGTTCAGTCTCCTCACAGCCACATACTGCTGCACAGTGCATGGAAAGCAAGGAGCCTAAAAAAAAAAGTTTTTTTAACACTCTAATTTTGCAAGTTTGATAATACAATCACTTAGTTAGCACAATATCAATCTCCTTTACACACTGCACACCAAATTAGTAACATTTCTTAAGCAAAATCATTATATGAATACATTCAATCAATCAATCAATACATTTTTATATAATATATAATATTTATTATATAGTTTATATAATAATTAGCCCTGCAGAACAACAAGCTTAACCAGACAAAAGCACAATCTTCCCTGCATCCCCACATCACGATCACAGGCTGCACCTCATCCACCATTTATCAATAGGAAATAAGCTTAGAAATGTTACAGCTGGTGGAGTCCTTCACGATCAGTATATTCAACAATAAAAAAAGTAGAGCTATGCAGTATGATATGATAGTCCACACTTTGCAATGTAGGAGAAAATGTCATAATAAAAACTTAATGGAAACCTTACAATACAAGTGGAGTCCGATGACAAATGTAACATTTTACGAAATCAAATTGGTTTAAGCTCCAGTTCCCTGTACAGTGAAAACCACCACTGGAGTGGTGCACCGATCGAACACACCACAACAGATCTAGTAGCTGAGCAAAAATAAGTTTGGCATCTTGTATCAGCATAGAAATATATATTAGTTGACTGTCAAAAATACCACAATATTCCAC